TTTCTTTAAAAAATCGATATTTTTCCTTTTTTATATTTTATCCTTTTCCATTGGTGATCTATAGTACTTAATAATATTATATAATATGGAAGAATGTTTTGTATGTTTTAATTACTGTTATGCATATATCTGTTTAATTTTTATTCTTTTTATTTTTGTTGAATATGTTGAAAAGTATTTCAGTATAATATAGTATTTTTAACATCATTATAATTTTTTTATTTTTAGTTTGAGCCATTAGATTCATACTTTTCGGAATACAGAATATTATGAATGAAAGTAATGTTGATGATCCTTTTTACATTCAAGAATGTCGATTTATACAAAATGTAAATGAAGTAGATGAGCAATTATATTATATACAAGATAAATCCCCTTAAATTGTTTCCATATTCAAATTATATACGCTTTGAAAATGATAACACAGATATTATGAAGGGATTACAATATATATATTATTGGATATATATAAATTATTAAATTGATGGAATAAGTAAAGATAATCTTAAAAAATATTATAGCAAATTAATAAAAAAATATAATGGCACTAGTTATGGTGTAACAGGTAATAAACTGCCTTTTCTAGAGATGTTAGCAGAAAAGAATGGGAAAAACTCACAGGTATATGTGATTTTCATAATAAGTGTAATAAGATAAGGAACTCTATATCTCAACCTTCTATGAGACAAGAAAAATGAGAATATGCCAATGAATATGCTGAGACATACTCGGGGCATATAAATACATGTAAATCAACTTATGCTCACTATTTTTGCAATTTATTCAGAAATATTAGAAATGGGGTTAATAAATTAATGTCAATTAATGCTTGTGATCATATTAAGTATCAAAACATACCTCCATTGAATCTTCAAAATGAAGTTAGTGTTTCATCTAGAACTAATATAACAGCTACCATTATAATAACGGCTCTTGTAATGTTGCTAATTCTTTTTTTGCTATTTGTTGTATACAAGGTTAATTAGAAAATTTTGATATATACTTATATTGTAAAATTATTTTTATGAATAATCAAAAAAAAAAATTACTATTAAAGAATTAGGAAAATATACGCAATTTTTTTTTTATTAGGAATTAGTTCATCCTATATAATTCATGTTTACATTATGGAATATTAAGAATAAAAAATAAATGGAATAATAATGATAAAAAAGGAATATATTTCAACCTTTTGAAATATCGAACAATATGACATTGGATAGTATATATAACATATTATATAGTTCTGCATAATTTTATCATTAATCATATAAATATAATTAAATATTTTATCTTAATAACATATAAAATTATGTAAATAATTTATATAGAAAATGATTCTATAAAATAATTCGAACAAGAATTATATAATTCTTATATTAAAATAAAGCAAAAATTGATACTAATATCTTAATATATTAAGATATGTTTCATAATATTATTTGTTATTAGTATAAATATTAAATAAAAGAAATCGGAACACGCATGATACTTATCTTGTTCTAATATACAATTGACTCTATGGGTATGATGTTTTTATATATACTTTAGCAAATTATAGATAAAATATCAAATACAATATAATATAATAAATATGTATTAATTATGAAATGTGAAAATAATGAATAAATTTATAATAAATCTGTTTTACGAAAATGCTGGTATTCAATAATATAATTTTATTCAAATTCACTTCGAATTATTATGTTTACACGTTAAAAATTAGTTATGATTTATAGATATTTTTTTTTTATTTTTACAATATTTTTCTATAATAAGTATATAATGTGCTAAAAATAATTATCATATTAATATTTGATATTTTATTATATGTAATATATATTTGTATGGATAGAAATTACAATATATGACTTTTTTTTCATTACTTATTTTCATTATGTTGAACATTTTTGTTAGAATTGATTCGTATTCATATGTTTTATTTAATGGCTAATATATTTGTAGTTTATATTATATAAAATGTCTTTCTATATATATCTACATTGAAAAAAATGATTATACCTAATTCATTTAAAAAATTCCTATATTTTTTTTTTTTTTTCGGCACATTACAATATTTTATTCCAGTATAATTTTTTTTATGTACGTTAGTTATAATAATGCTTTATAAATACAATCTGATTGTCATGATTTATCAAATTTGTTTGAATAAAATGCAAGGGAAACACAAATTGGTAGATCCTTATTATAATTATGTATTGACTTCACATGCAATATCCCTTAAATATACTGTTTTGGCATATTAATTTGGAAAAAAAATAGTATATTTCATAATATTTCTGTAATTGTATTATATTATTCATTTAATCAAATTACTATGAAGAAACAGTGATTATTTTTTTACAAATGTTTACTTATTTTATAGAATTCAATATATATATAGTTAAATTATTTTTCATATTTAATGACATGCTATTTTAACACGATGTTACATGATAAAATTATCATCTATATGTTACATTCTAAATGAACACAAAAATTTAACATGTAAAATGTAAATTACTAATTTTATATGTATATTTTCAATAATGTATATAACAATATTATATATCACAAAATAGTTAATTTTATGAATATATATATAATTTTCAATAATACTTAGTTAATCTAAATGCATAGCTATCTCTAAATGTTTTAGTTGAGAATCTCTATTTAATATTTTTTAATATTTAAAAGCTAAATAAGTCATTCTTTAAAAATATTGTTCATAAAAGAATTAAGCTTAAGTTACAACAAAGTATTATTATATATCGTGAAACGCATGCTATAAATTTATATATAATTTATGAAGCATGTATTTAAGGAATGGAATAAGGTAAAATCTGAAATAATCATTATGAAAAACATAACTCTTAAAATTATAGGCTTCGATAGAAATAATAATTAGACATAAATATCTTTTTTCATTTATACAATGTAATATATACTGTAACATTTGCATATTTTTTTATTAATATTATTTGAAATACTATTATATTTATTTAATTCATAGTTATGTAACAAATTTTCTTCACGTTTATTTTGTGTTATTTCCTAAATTGCTATATTGTGCGTGACGTTAAATGATTTTCTCATTATGCACCTACGTAATTCTTTATATTTTATAAGTTATAACATGTCCTTTTATTAATATAAGAACATCTCACCATATTATATAGAACAAAAAAATTTATTCTTTAACATATATATGTAATCCATGAAATTACTTGATTCATATAATACATAATATCTATAAGTAGATGAATGTTAAACATAACACAGCTACTTATGATAAAAGGTTTTTCGGTTATATTTGTCAAATTAAAAATTAATTTATATAAAATAAATATAATTTAAATATATAAACCAATAATATATTTATGCTCGCATATGAATAAAAAATTTGGATAAATAGAAATCATGTATTTCATAAATCTCAATGTGAATATCTATATATAATATATATTAATTATAATATGTATATTAGTAGGATAAAAGATAGGTATCGGTTGAATCTTAAAATTAAAAAGGAATATAAATTCATTCTGTTATAAGAATTTAATTCATCCGTATTTGTATATCAATTATATTAAATGTAAGAAAAATTAGACTAAATGCGTCATAAAAATTATGTAATGATAATAATATTATATGAAAATGTGTGAATATAGAAAAATACAAATTCTCATATTTCATTTATGTATATTCGGGAATAATAATTAATATATATTCTTGTAACAAGCATTTATAGTACAAATAAATAATATATATAAGAAGAATATAATATATACTTATATACATAGATAATTCTTATTTATATCTTATCATTAAATTGAATTCAGCGTGAAACTAAAATTTTGAGCGATATTATATATTTAGAGTAAATATATTCCATTCAAATTAAAATAAATCTTGTTGATGCCATATTACGCGTTACATTTATATAGAAAAAAATAAATGTAACATAAGATAACTAATTTTCTAAGTAAATATTAACACATAAAGATTCTCTCTTAAACATGGAGGGCTAAATTATCCCTGGAATAAGTAGAACACCTCCTTAAAACTAAACACAAATCCTGAAGCATAAGAAAATGAAATATTAGTTCACTAAATAGAATTTATAGTATTTTAATATTATATATGTGTAATACATTTATTTATAATGCTATTATAACGTTTAAAAAATATTTATATATTTTTTTTATATTTTTTAAAGTAGGAGCATACAGAGAACTTCTTAATGTTTCGTTATGTAAATTATAAAAAAAAAAATTATATTAATAATTACATAATATAAAAACAACTATATTAAAGGGTGTAAATTCTGAGAATCTAAAATAATGATATAACAAATAAGTGATATAATATAATTAAAGTATATTCCTATATTAAAAACATGTGAGTAATAAATTGTTGCATATTATTATTATAAAATTGAAACAAACATATTTATAATTAATAGATATTATAATAATTATAAGAAAGTTGTATTTAAAAATTAGTTGACAATATTTGTTAATGAAATTAATTGTTTTTTTTTCATTAATATTGTACTATAATACAATATGTCACACATAGACTTGCTTTATAAAAAGCACATTCAGTAAATATAACAATTTATGTTTTATATATACATTGATATTGGGTATACATAATATATTATTCCTTAAGATATAGAATATAAGCTTATATAAAGTAGAAACAACTTATTTATAAAGTATACAACATAATACAACATAGAAATAAAGAAATTTAATATTTCACTTTTATTTACGCTTTTGAATATTATAGAAAAAAAATTTTGTTTTTTCAAATTTCTCTTTAACATTTTCTTATTTAACTTATAAAATAAATATTAATTTTTATTCATTATTATAAGATATATTTATATTTTATATTATGTTAATAGAAGAATAAAACTCTGTATAATATTATTGCAATTTTTTTAATGTTGTTTACGTAAAAAATTTCCTTTAATTATACATCTAATTTTAAAATTAATCAGAGTAATATAAAATGTTGTATCTTCCATTCCAAATGATCCTTCTAAATATATCAGTATTCTGTAAGTTTTTCCACTCTTTTTCTATATTATTTATTTTTTTCTTAATACTTTTTATTCCAATACGTATATGTGAACGATATAATTTGAACTATTTTGTAATAAAAAAAATTATTGAATTAAATATATAATTTTTTTTATGAAGAAAAATATTTATTTAAAAATAATATAGATATTTATATTTACATCATAAATATAACTTAGCGAATGACTAACCTTATACATAATGAATATCAAGCTATATATTAATAACGTTACAACAATTGTAATTATAATAGGAATCTCAACATTATATTGGCTAATTGTTGATTTTATGGATGTATTAATTTTAAGATCTTCATTTTTCATTTGTGTATTATTAGGATCTATAATTTTTTTTATAGCATTACAAAATTCATCATTGTTTTTGTGTTCACATTTATATTCTTTTATATATTTAGAATGCTTATGTATATCATATAGAACTGTGAGCTTTTGCAAGTCATCCCTATGAATAGAACAATTTGTATAAAACTCTTGTATATATTTGTCACTAAATATATCTCTATTTTCCAAGATCAGCGTAAGAAGGAGTCCAAAAATATTATAATCTTTTTTTTCATTAAGAACATCATGATAAATCCAATAATACAGGTATTTACAAGCGTCATCTCTTTCATATTTTTCATCCTTTTCACTCATATTTTTTAAATACGATACAGCTTTGGGACATATATCTACAATGATAGACCTGATATCTTCAAAATAAGGAATTTTTAAATCATTACATTTAACTCTATAATAATCAATCGACTGTTTATCTATTGTGTTTAGTGTGTTTCTATATTCATCAAATTTATCTACAAAACTATACTAAAACCATAAAAAAAGATAATATTTTGACAATAATTACATTGCATTAAACAGAATTATATATTATATTTTAGAAAATAAATATAATTATGTTACAATGTTGTAATTTATATTTTAATAAATGAAAGTTACATATTTTTTTTCCATCTGAGATAATATTATATTCTTTTAACGTGAAACTATTTATAATGATGAAATCTATGCAAATATATATATTTGTATAAATAAGATGATCTAGCAAGTAGAGACAATTTTTGATTCTTTATTATACTTAAAAAAGTACTGTAAATATGTAATTCATTGACGATATATTTTATTTTTATGCATATTAAATATAATAATATTCATTTAAGACATATAATATATTTTCTTATTTATTTTATAGAAAAAATAAAAATAAAATAATGTATTACTTAGAAAAAAATAAGGATATCACTTTTTGATGTATAAAGTTAAATCAACTATTTTGTAATATACTTACTTTTTTTTTTCTTCTAGATGTAGTTCTAATACCAATATATATAAATTAGTACAAAAAATATTAAATAAATATATAAGTTAGTATTCTTTTTTACATTTCTTTGATTTCCTAATTCTAAAATTATAGAGCATATATATTAGTTTTTGATATTTTATTCTAGATTTATGTTTCAATTGAGGTATTGAAGTAATCATATATTCATGTTCACCTTTTATTATAGTTAAGCTTAAGAGCTTATTTATTTGTTCTGTTGTTTTGATTTATTTTATATATTTTATGCTAATCTAATGTACTTTTTCTAAGGTTTTGTGTGTAGATTTATGATATTTACATTAACTTTTTTTCTTATATGTATTGTTTATGGTTAACTTTATATGATTCAACCTACATGATTTATATTATACAATTTATTTGTTTTTATTTCTAATATTAATTATTTACGTTTTCATATTTTACCTTTTAGTTTTATTTATTTGTTTACCTGTTAGTAAAAAGTGTTTATATATTTAGCGATTAGTATATATTTTTTATTTGCGATTAATGATATAGGTTCCTAGTTTATTCTTTATATACTTGTTTTTCTTTTCAGGTTAAATTATTATTCTCATATAGTGCATTAGTAGCTCTTGTTCTACTTAAGTTGCTAATTTATATTTTTAAGAATATAGGATATTTTTTTCATTTAATATGTATTTTTTTTTATTTTAAATATATTTTTTCTTATTTAGTCATTTTATTGGTTTTATACATTTTATTATTAAATTTATTAATTTTGTTTTCTTTTAGAGAATATACTTATTGTTTAAATTATTATAAAAACAATATTGCTTTTACTGTTCTATAAATATATATTTATTTATATTGTTTATTATGAATAAATTCATATTACATAATGTTTTTGATTTTATATATATTATTTATTATTGCTTATTATTATATATACATATATAATATTTTCTTGTCCCGCTTTATATTATCTATGTTTTATATAACCACATTTAATTTATATTAATATTATATATGTATTGAATTTATAATTAATTCTCCATAATATCTAGTCCTAAATTAATTGGAGAGAATAATTTTATTTGATCATTTAACGTATCATCTACAATAATGCAATATATATTACATCCATTGTTTTATTTTTTATTGTTTTATTTAATATATTTGTATAATAAGATATAATATAAATGAATCAGAATTTTTTTTTATTTTTTAATATTGCAGAGTGCATTTTATACCCCATTTCTTGCAGAATTGTTCAATAGCATTCAAAGATATATTATTCATTATTTTATTTTACGTATTCATTATTAATTATTTTAGTTATTCATCTAAAATAATATACATATTTAATTCAATTACTCTTAGTTTTATTTATATATTACCTGTTTTTATACTTTGCTTGAGCAGTTTTTTTGAATTTTATTTAGTATTGCACAACTTTTACACTAGATAAAAATTTACTATCCATGGATATATATATTATTGCACTCACATAAATATATGTTAAATAGATATAAAATATGTTATAATAGTGCAATCAGAATATATTATTTTTGATATCTTATGTGTTAATATATAATAAACTAAACATACCTTAGTAAATACAGAAGTAGAATATGTTATAGGGGTTAATTGTAAATATTTCATTTCTTCTAAATCAATGGAATTTTTTTTTTAATTTGTATTTTCAATTTTTATACTAATTACGTAGGATTGTTATTAGTTAACAATGACATTTTTTGTATTCAGTTTTAAATTATAAATCGAATTTCCTTTGTTCTGATCTATGTATCCATGTACATGATAATACATTAATAGATTTTTTTTTGTTATAGTAGAAAAATTTCCTTTAATGAAAAATAATTGTTTAATATATTCCTCACATAAAAGTCTTTTATTGTCTAAACATAAAAGAAACATAAATAAAACAAAAAAGATCAAAGGTTTTTTAGAACAGATGCTAAATGTAAATGCATCTAAGAAATAAACAAAGTACTATATATGTTTTAATAGTTCTTAAAATATTAATAAAAGAGAATATCCATATAAATTCATAATCAGAAAAATTGTTTCATATGTAATATTATTCATCTCTAATATACATATTTATAAACAAAAGGTTTTTTCTTTCTATTAAAATATTCAATATTCAAGTTGAAGTCGATAATGAATGAAAATAATATTGACAAAAAATGTATTCGATATGACTCTTTAAAGCTGCATTGACTATATTCATTTTATCACTTATCATAAGTGCTTCATGATATTTTTAATTTATATGTTGTTCATTAGGATGTATAAATTTATTTTATGCTCCTGTATCTCTTTCTATATCATCTACACAGTGATAATATATATTTACGAAAATTATTTAATCGATGTATTTAAATAGGAAGCAAGCATTAATATAGTTTATCTAATTACATGTATGCGCTTTAGTAATTCCTAAAGTGTTATGGATATTTATGTTGTACTATTCATTTGATAAACATTTGAATCAGTATTAATTTCAATATAAAAATTTATATAATCTGAATATTTACACAAAAAAGTATTAATAAAAAAATATACATACACAAATAATTAAAAATTATTGTGGCTCATAGTGTTTTAATTTTTATATTATACTGTCCTTCCTGTGTAGTTTATTAATAGTATTTTTAAATAATTTTTTTGTTTTATAGGAAGTATTATTCTTATATATTTATATATGCACAAATAATCATTAATCATATGAAGTTAAAAGATGTATATTCAATTATTTAATTTTTAGGGATAATTATATGTCATTCTGTTGATATTGCATTATTTTCATCTAAGACAATTTCCTTCAAAATATGTTTTTTCACTTATATTTATGTAAACAAATAGAGAAATTCTACGTTTTTTTAATTCTTGTTTTACTGATTATATATGAATAAAACTTAATACTTTAGAATGATTTAATTTAAATATATATAATATAGTATATTATGGAATACAACTAATATAATATTTTTGTTAGAGCTTTTTATTTATCTTATGAGGAATTATAATAAATATATCATTATCATCTGAGCCACATATATATTATTTTAATTCATATTATAAATATTAGCATATTTAAGAATATTTAAGTTATAATTATGCATATAGATATATATTACATATCATCTAATAATGTGCTATGAATTATTGGAATAAACATTACGTTCGATATAAAAGAATTTGTGTAAAATGTTCTTAATATGCAAAATATTCTTGTAAATATTGTATATATTCTACAGAATATGAAAATAAATTAGGAATATACAGGATCAGTTAATGTAATGTGATAGAGATATATATTAAAAAATTTATGAAAATCTGCTCAGCACAAAATTTAACATTTAAGGACACAATACATAAAATTCAATATATAATATATGAATCTTAACTTATATTGATATTTGTAAACGTAAGTATCACGTTATTTTTAACTTTGTTCTTTCTGTGTATTGTTTATTGTATTACTGTTTAAATATATTTTACATCATTGCGTATTTATAATGATTTGTATGTTAATAAGATATTAATATAAACATTTACACTTTTAATTATACTATTATTTTTTCACATGATTAATTTACAACTTTTGACCATTGAATTCGCTATAAAATATCAAAAGAGATGAAACAACTTTCTACAAATTTCAAGAAGACAACATCATAGATTCCATAAATGACATTTCATTATCCTTAAATATTTGCCCCACAAAATAAGAAAATACAATGTTTCTATAATTGTGCAAGATAGGGAACTAGATAATCTATAATATACATTAAGAAATATTTAAAAATAATATATTTATAATTTTAAATATCAGATTTTACTAATACCCAGCTATGTAAGATAGGTAGGATGACTATCTATAACATATTCTTTTATTCATACTATTACAAAAAATATTATGTAATATTATTACAAGTTATTTTTTTTTTTTAATTTTTTTTTTTCTAATACTAATTTATGTTAATAAATTTATATAAATTTTCTGTCTAAAAAATATATGAATTGAAATCTCATTCTTTTACTTTAATTATTTCGCTTGAGAAAATGTGTTGAAAATATTTGTGCAATGTTTTCTTATTTAATGATAAATTAAATTGATTTATTCATAAAGTCTTTAATATAAGATATTTATAATAGTAAAATTACAATGGATACTTTTTTAATAGTGCATATACAGAAAAAAGTTATTCTTGATGACAGACCGTAAACTAAAAACTTATTCCTTCATACAATGAGTATTGTAATTTCTATAACAGTGGATTAATTCCTTTAGAATGTATTTAAGGCACTCTATTATCTATTGTTTTTATAAAATTTTAAAATGAGATATTTATAACATATCTAAAACATAGTTTAATGTATTTATAAAATTCAGGGAAAATAAAATTAAACTTTTAAAAAAAGTTGTTCACAAAAATGAAATAAAATATATAAGAATTTTTTATTTTTTAATGTGTATCCTATGAACTTTTTATACACATGTAATTGTGGAAACTAAATTTTTTTTGTAATTAGGTAAAACAGATATAAAATAAATATTAAATAACATTGCGTTCCTTAATCGATTCTTTAATATTAACAACATTTATCACATAATAATTGTTTCATAATTAAATAATATTTAATT